AAAGATGAACAAAGAAAATGGTAACGCACACACGAAAAATGGCCAAAAATGTGAGTGCGTTACCATTTTCTTTGTTCATCTTTTATTAATAAAGTTAAATAAAGATAGTTTCCAACTTTGAAAAAGTATCACATCTTGTAGAGCAAACAATTCTCTGCAAAGTGGTGTGCTTTAAGAATATTTTCTCTATCGTCTTCACTCTTTCAAAACCCTTTTTCAAATAGCCCCAAAATCGACTCTTTGGGCTCTTTGTAAAATAACTCTATTTTCATTACTAATCAGCTTTCAGAGTCGAGACACGTCTCATTTTGTAGAGAAATATTTATTCTACTAGATCATCTATTTCGAATTTGAAATTAGTTCCTAGCTTTATTGCAAGGATTCTTTGAAAATGAGTGTAAAAAGGGGACCGTTAGCCAGACAAGCCGTACTACTTTTGACTAAATGACGGGTTAGTTATGCATACAGAGAAGAAAATACAGTGGGCGCAAAAATTATTGGCTCAACTCTATAGTATCATCTCATTGATATCTCTTTTTTGTGCCCGAACCAAGTGAATGGGGAGCTCGAACACATAATGTGCCCGTTGTCTCTACTCTATATGCTATTGTTCTTAGCTTATTTTCTTTTACGTTCTATTAGAAAAAGAGTGAAAATGTTCTACTATACAGGTGAGTCAATAATTTTTTGACTCACTGATATGTACCAGAAGAGTTGATAAGGCTATAAAGAGAAATTGACGAGCGTTGAATGAAAAGGGTCATTTCGCATTATGTAAAATGTTTAACAATTCATGATCAGATAAATGACGAGTCATACAATACACTAGCACATGCGCAGTATAATATGCCTGCAGTGATAAATATATACTTTTATTTAAGGATGGAATAAACAGCAGACAATACTACATAGTTACAACTTACCGGATCGTTCACCATTGCTACTGTCCTATGGTGCATTTTGGTAATTAGAATCTATAGTACATAATATTCAGATGTTGCAGCATAAACAAAAATTATACTAAATCCTTGCGATTTTATTACAGCACCTGAGCATTAGAAATGTTATTACCGTAATTCTAATATGAAAACCTCATGCAGTATGAGATTATGTGTTGAAAAATGTGAAGTAACATATTAAAAGGTTAGATACGTTACAGATGAATGAACAACCATCTGCACTCTTTTCAACGTGCTACTGTATAAAAATTTTTTGCTTTTCTATGAAGTATGTAATCTATGCGTCTGTAAAGAAAGGTCAAAAGTTTCATTTTATTTATAAAATGAACATAGATAGATAAATTACTTAGTTCATAGAAAAGGAAATATATTCCAAACCGTAACATGTTGACTAGAACAAAGACAATTTATTCATCAGTAACGTGTCTAACCTTTTATGTTTATTTTCTCCCAGTCAGCACTCGATACTTCCTCTTACAGCCTTAATACTCTTCTGATATGTAAAGACATATTTTCTTCTTAGTATACATATCTTGCAGCTATCTAGTCGAATGTAGTAGTTGACTGGCTGATTATAAGAAATAAAAATTGTCTTTCTTCTGTTGTTTTTCTTCGCACAGATTATTCAAACAATAGCAAAGTGTCTGTAATTCAAAATTTGAGCAAATCTTTGTCTTTGTTTTTTTGACATGATTGGACAGAACTCATCGAACCGTATGGGAAAATGTCAGTTTTACATTTTCGGAAGTTGCCTTTACGACTAAAAATTTGTAAAATTTGAAACTATGAAAAAGTCATCAATCGTAGTAAAGTTTTGAAAATGAGCCAAAGTTTTCGTCTTTAACTTTATTTTAATTTTTGGACACTTTTTTCTTACTTCTTCATGAAAAACTGGCTATGAAAAACTAAATTTCAGTACTCGCAACTACAGAATGATCGATGAATTCGCGCAAAACGAGTAGAATTGTAGAAAAAATCATTTTTCAAAATTAGGAGAAAAAAAATCAGAATTCTAACAATGATTCTCAACCTTCTCCATTGACTATCTACTTTTACGCAATAAAAATACCAAATTTAGAATCAGCCTCTAACATTGAGTCAAATGATATATGTTTCAAAATTTTCAGTTGATTCTCATTTTCGATATAAGCCTCAATAATTTTTCGACGAAAAAATTGAAACAACTTGACATGGTCTGATAGGATAGAAAAGCATGTTATCAGACTCAGCTTTTGAATTATAGGTACTTTAGCAAAATTCATAAATTGCTGAATAAAATTGTTCTAGAGATATGGGATTATTTGTATAATACACGTGCGATTTATAGCTTTTTTTAACATTAATTATCGTTTTAACTCATTATTGGTAGAGTATTGTTGTTCTAGTATTGATACATATATTAGTTGTCCTTTTTCATTTGAAATTTAAGCCATTAGAGACGAAATAAAACTTCCTTGTATGCATATTTTGTTGATAACACAAGAAAAAATTGCATTGTGTTTGTGTGACCAGTAACGGTCTGGAGTTTTTAGAAAACGAACAAGTTATCGAAACAATACTAGTTATTATAAACCTTAAACAGAAGATATATGATTTAAGTACACAAAGAAGTCTCTGAAAGTAGATATGCGATTTGAAGATTGAGAAACTAATTATATGTGATTGAGCATAAACATGTTGTATCAACCATTTTACATTATCTCTGTTGTTCAAACCGGGATTTGTATTTAACTGAGCAGTGATTGAAGCTTTTTTCAGCTCTCGTAATTACTATCCAGCGTGATTAACCTTTACAAACTTCACTAGAAATACAGACTTTAAAAAATTTAATCTCCTTTGATAAGAGTAGCTTGAAAGACTACAGTTATAGGACTTCAGAAACAGTTCATGCAGGTATTTAAAATACTGTTCCTGTCAAAAAGTTAATTTCGTATTCATCGTATTCTTTCGAAAAACCATGAAAGTTAAACGGGAGCCCACATTTTTTGGAAACATTGGTGCATGTTTCTTTTAATCCAGAAGACTTCCGATCAGAAAGCTCTGTAACTTGTAAACTTTGATATTTATTTAAAATAAACGAGTAGCATGTACCAAGGCAAAAAATAAAGCGAGGTGAAATAAGATATTACAAACAGATGCACTACATCATGAGAGAGTCACTAATTTTGTTAACTATTCCATCATCAAATGCCACCAAATTTCTATAAGTCACTCTGTATTGCGTATACTAATTCATGGTCTCAGTATACCCTTCTTTAGCAGGAGCACCTGGGAAAACAAAGTATAATTATTAAATCAATCTGTATCTCTATTTAAAATACTCACTGCCAGATGTGCCAGCATCGCCAGGTGCTATATTAGTTGCTTGACTACCGGTATAACCGCCTAAACCACCTATAATGAAGATGAACAAATTGAAAATATTAAGTGCTTCTAGTAAATAAATCTCTCAATCGAAATTCTCATTTCCTTTGCTCGTACTGCTCGGTGCTGGTAAAAAAGTGATGTTTTTGATCGCTAGCTGAGAAAATGGCGTACTAATGCACTTTTCATTATCCTTGCGCAGTGGAAAATTAGAAAAAGTCAAATGAAAATCTTTTCCTTCTAATTTATGGATAATAGGCATTGATGTTTGGATTATCATAAGGCATATAAGCTTAGTTACAATTGCTCTCCTGGTTTAGAAGGAAATTATGAAAAAAATGAGTCAGAATAGTACAGAGCATCCTCAAGAATTTAGTTTACATTCGACATAACCCCGCTGTAAAACGGGTGCGAATAGAAGAGGATACCCGAGGATCACATATTATTGGAACAGTTGTAGAATTTGGATTTAAAGTTCTGGAGAACTTAAAATATTACTGTTGTTGGAAATTCATGCGAACAGGGCTCTCAAGTGTTATGGGTTTGTCTGATCCTGTCTGCATCTGACCCCGCCCGAACTGTGCTATAAAAAGCACATCTATATATTTTACATCTACTCTGTCAGCGGGAACCAGCACTTTTTTAATTGTCATCCAGAAGGAAACTTCCTGGTTAACAGAATAAATCCTGTTTTTCACTATCAGAGAGCATTTTTATCAAAACAATGTGCAACCGGTAATCGTTTCATCCCGTCTTGGATTTTAGACATAGAGGATTCTAACTTGGTCAAATTCATCCAGAGTAAGTCAGCATATAAGTGTGTGCTGTACTTTTTCTACAAAGCTCAACTTAAAGATGATTTCTACTTGAGAATAATGAAAAATATTCCTGCACTTCGGCAGGTTTCTAGAAAACCTTTGCAAAAACTAAAGTATTTTATGTTACTTTGAAAACTTCGATTGAACACGATGCTATAGTGTAGGAACTATTCGACTTTCAGAATATTAAAACCTACAGAAACTATTCCAATTACACAACAATGGAGAGTATAGAAAGTATTCGAACTATGAAAACCATAGTAACTATTCCAACTAAAAACCATAAAGAACCATACGAGGTATAGCTACTATTCGAATTATAGATCAATACGAACTATGAAAACTATTCGAACTATAGAACATTAGAAGCCATTATTCGTAGAATAAAATCTGTAAAGAGTAAAGGAACTATTCGAATTATAGAACGTGGACACCTATAGCAATTATTCAAGCCATAGAAACTATAGAAAGCGTAACAAATATTCGAACGACAGGAACCGAAATAACTATTCTAATTATAGAACATTAGGCACTATAGGAGCTATAGAGCTACCACATAACGAATGTGTAGCCGACGTGCTGGAATGCGCGTATATCTTTGATGCTTTCTGTTAATAATCTCTTGTAGCATTTTCTATAAAGCAAAGTTAACATAATTCAAGAAAATTCCAGCATGTCGGGTACACATTCGTTATGTGCTAGCTCATATTTTTTGTTCCTCTTTCTTGTTTTGTTTTTAAAATAAAATATATATCTTTATTATAAGTGTTCCTTCTACTCTGCAAGAAACCATAATACAATCACAGATATTCTTCGTTGGTCGTACTCAAGCATAACACGTTTCATAATCTAACTAGTAATGAATCCAAATCAAAACAACGGTCATGGGCAAGGAAATCAAAATCCACAACAAGGACAACCCGGTGAAAATGCACTGCAAGTCACAGGTAAATAAGAGCACAGATGCTACTAAAGGGTGAGTTTTACATAGGCACAAAAGCAGAGACTAATTAGAGATAAATAGAATTATGTAATACAACATCTCGTATAAGAGAAATCGATATTCTTTGGTTTCTATTCCCTAATATATAGTTAGCATCGTTGCTATAATTTCTACTATCCGAAAGCATAGGAAGTATTTGAACGCTACGGACTATTTGAACACAGGAACATGTATGAACTATGGGATATTAGAAACTACACTATAGAACATTAGAAGCCATTATTCGTAGAATAAAATCTGTAAAGAGTAAAGGAACTATTCGAATTATAGAACGTGGACACCTATAGCAATTATTCAAGCCATAGAAACTA